TGATCGCAGTCAGTCCAATTTGAGCCAACTTTAGCGTTGTGCTTTTTCATTCCATCACGCCATCTCCCATTCTGGTGCAAATCTTCTGCACCATGCATGCACTGACTTTGGAAGCATGATTGATTTTGGAAGCATGATTGATTGATTGAGTGCTATTGCTTTGGAAGCATGATTGATTTTGCCTAATTTTCTATGATTGAACCACTTGCTCACTTGTTAAAAATAATCAAGGCCATGTTTTTCTTCTTCCTTAGAGCCAATGTTTATAGGTGAACCCAATAAAGATCAATGTTTTCTCTAACCTTTGCACCTTGAGCCTAAATTTGAAAAGTGGAAAAACCTTTTTTGAAATCCTTACCTTGAGTTAAGTAGAGTATGTTTTTGTGGTAATGGAGAATGGTTCAAGTTTGGGGTGGTAAGAAACCGAAAAGAACTTTGTGAAATTCATTAAAGAGCATTGGGCAAAAGCAAAAAGCAAAAGAGAAGAAAAGAAAGAAAAGAAAAGGTTAAGCTCAATGCAAGTAAAGTTTGGGAATGAGTTGAATATTGGTTTCTCACATAAAAGGAGAAAGAGAGATTATTGTTAATGTGAACGAATGAATTATGCACTCTCTTAACCCAAGGAATTTTGTTGTCTAGAAAAAACCAATTTTCTTCTTAACCCAGCCTCAATAGAAGCCTTGAAAAACCCTTGTGATGATAACTTGCTTGTGAGTGTGTTTGATATGTGGTTAAATAAAGACAAAGTTGATTCATGTGACATTGTTATAGTAAAGTGTAAGAGTGTCACCTCACTATACACCTTTGAGTTGAGTGAAACACTTTTGAGTGCTTGAGTGAAATACTTTTGAGTGCTTGAGTGAAACACTATCTTTGGTGAGGAATAGTTCCATGAACTTTATGATAACATTCTTGCCTTGTTATTGATGAGGCTTGCATCTGTTGCGTATGTCTTAATTATGTGAGCACCATAGTTGAAGCTTGATTGGCTAAAGAATCATTCTATCTTGACTAATTTTTCTATGATGAGCAAACATGAGTGATTTACTTGTCCTAAAGGAAAATGCCTTTTGGTGTGCTAAACCATTGTAGTATGAGTATTTTGTTTAAGCCAAGTTACATTTTGCTTGAGGACAAACAAAGTTTCAAGTTTGGGGTTGTGATAACGGTTGAAAAACCATTATTTTTATACTTAATTTTGATAATCAATCAACCCTTTTTAACTTAGAAACTTGCTTTAACTCATGTTTTTGCTTTAGTTTTGTGAATAAGAGAGTTGAAGGTGAATTTATTGGTTTTGTGCTAGACTCCTTTGATTTTGTAGGTTATTGGATTGATTTGAAAGAAGAGTTAAAGTACTGAATGGTTGGAATGCAGAAAAGTCAACCAGAAACAAGAAAAGTCAATCAGTCAACCAGAAAAGTCAATCAGTCAACCAGAAAAGTCAACCAGTCAACCAGAATGTAGAAAAGTCAACCAGAGTGCAGACAAAGTTGCGCTGAGCGACAGTTTTGAAGTGCCGAAATCACCGCTGAGCGCCAAATTTCGCTAAGCGCCAGTGCTGCACTTACTGTTGAGCGCCAAATTCTGCTGAACGCCATTTTAAGTGGGCTTGGACATGTTTTCTGTTATTTTATGGGCTTGGACCTGTTTTCTATTATTTTTATGTTCTATTTAAGGACTTGCACGTCCTAGAGAATGTATCTTTTGATGGCTTAAGCATAGAAACACATTTTTCACCCCTTAGGGGTAGATTTGGAGATGGTGACGGCTTTCCTCTTCTCTTTCTCGGGTTTTTCTATCTCTTTCATTCTTTCATTCCATTATTCATCTAGTTCTTCCATGACGATGGAGGGCTAACCCTTATTGTTGTTGGGAAAGATGTAACCTCTTAAACTCTCATGTATTGAATTTGTTCTTCAAGATCTTTTAAAGATACATGTTTTCTTTCATTAATTGTTAGAGATATTCTTCTTTCCTCAAATGCTTGTGATGTTTTATTCATGTACGGCATAAATCTTATGATTTGTAACTATCAGGAGATTTCGTACTCCTAGGGTTGGACGATTTGGCGATGTGACAGCTCTCCTCTTCTCTCCCTAGGATTGTTATTGAGAGATATCTTACAAATCACGATTTGGGGAATTCTCCCAATAGTAGTATAAACCTAGACATAGGAGTATGATGGTTGGTTGCCTTTAAGATTTTGTTCACTATAATGCATGATTAATTGCTAGGGAGACAAGACATTGTAAACTAGTGATTATGATTAGGCTTTCTTCGCCGAGACATCGGATTTAAGGTAAACTAGTAATTATGCATGAGAGTAAATTAGGTGAAATCTAAACCCAACAACAATATCATCAACTTCATCCATTCATTCTTGTGTTTAGCCTCAATTGATCAAATTGCATTCTTGTTTATTTTATTGCATTTGCATTCAAAAAACCCCAAAATATATTCTTTAGAGTCTTAATTAGTTGAGTAATCACATAACTGTTTAGTGTCGTGAGTCTCTTGGGAAACGATACTTGGTCTTACCATTTATTATTACTTGATACGATTCGGTTACACTTGCCGATGGTTAACAAGTTTTTGACTTCGTTTTCGGTGATTAAAAATTTGTTCATCAAGTTTTTGGCACTGTTGCCGAGGACTCGTGGTTTAACTATTCTATTTGTGTGATTCTTAACCGATTAGACTTTATCTTTAATTTTTATCTTTTCATCTTTCTATCTTTTCATCCTTTTATCTTTTTATCTTTTTATCTTTTTATCTTTTTCTCTTTTTATTTTTTATTTTTTCTTTTTATCTTTTTAGTTTTTTTATCTTTTTATTTTTATTTTTATTTTTATTTTTATTTTTATTTTTATTTTTTATTTTTTATTTTTTTATTTTTTATCTTTTTATCCTTTCACCTTTTTATTTTTTTCTATCTTTCTATCTTTCTTCTATTTTTCTTTCTATCCTTCTATCTTTCTTTTTTTTATTTTTTTTATCTTTCTATCTTTCTATCCTTTTTATCTTTCTATCTCTTCATTTTTTCTTTTTATTTTTTTATCTGTTTGTGCTAATTAGGTGCTCTAGTTTAGTGTTCTTTAGTGTTTGCAGGATAAAATTCTAAAATCTGTATTAGGAGCACAATATCATCAAGAGAAGAAGCACAACATCTACTGATGGATGTTAGGTGCTTGAGTAACTACTGAAGGATACTATGCTATCAGACACTTACTGATGAGTGTTGATGAAAAGGATTTGCATCTACTGATGGATGTTAGTGCAAGAGTATCTACTGAAGGATACTATGTTTGTATACACCTAGTGATGGGTGTTTGTGATAAATTACGTCTCGGTTTAGGTGGGAAGTGGCAGAACATTACGTCTCGGTTTTGTTTTTAACCAAGGTAATTTGGCTTTTATATGCTTCAGTTCCCCTGCAACCGAGACATATAAGTTTGTTGAAATTGCAAAAATGGCACTGCTTTTACATATGCTTCGGTTTTCTGGAAACCGAGACATATGACCCGCGTTCTTAACCCCGTTTTGCACTAGTGGGAGTATGTTAAGTCTTAGTAATATTCCTTTATCTTTGTGGATGTATACATTAAAGACTGTTGTATATCTTCTTAACAGGGTTCCTAACAAAGCAGTTTCTAAAGCTCTTTATGAACTATGGACTGGAAGGAAACCCAGTTTAAGACATCTTCATGTTTGGAGTTGTCCGGCAAAGGTAAGGTTATACAATCCACATGAAAAGAAGCTTGATGCAAGAACCATTAGTGGTTACTTCATCGGTTATCCTGAAAAATCAAAGGGATACAAATTTTATTGCCCTAATCACAATATAATAATAGTTGAGTCTGGAAATTCTCGGTTCAGTGAAAATGGACAATTTAGTGGAAGTGAGGAATCACGAATAGTGGACATTGAAGAGCATAATGGTAGTGTTCACCTAATGTCTCTTCTCAAGTTGTTATCCCTCTTGTTGTATCACAGTCACATAACAAGCAGAAACAACAAGTTAATGATCCAATCCCACAAAATGAACATATAAATGTTGAGCCAATTGACAATGAGCAAGTCACAATGAGCAATTGATAGAGGAACCACAAGAAGCAGCATTAAGAAGGTCTGTAAGGCAAAAAAGACCTGCTATTTCGAATGACTATATGGTTTACTCTGTTGAACATGAATGTGACTTAAGCATTGATGAGGATCCAGTCTCTTTCAGACAAGCCATGGAAAGTAATAATTCAGAGAATTGGTTGAATGTTATGAAAGAAGAATTGAAATCAATGGATGACAATAAACTATGGGATCTAGTTGAATTGCCTAAGGGTTCAAAAGGAGTCAGTTGTAAATGGGTCTTTAATATTAAACATGACTCAAAAGGCAATATTGAAAGGTATAAGCTAGATTAGTCGCTAAAGGTTTCACTCAAAAGGATGACATTGACTACAAAGAGACCTTCTCTCATGTTTCTAAGAAGGACTCTTTGAGAATTGGTTTGGCTTTGGTGGCTCATTATGATTTAGAGCTTCACCAAATGGATGTAAAGACCGCTTTTCTGAATGGTGACTTAGAAGAGAAAGTTTATATGGACCAACCAGAATGTTTCACAATAACAGGAAAAGAAAATTTAGTGTGTAAATTGAAGAAATCAATATATGGACTGAAACAAGCTTCTCGACAATGGTATCTAAAATTTAATGATACCATAACTTCATATGGTTTTGTAGAGAACACCGTTGACCGGTGTATATATATAAAGATCAACGGGAGTAAGTTTGTTAGATTTGTTTGTTGACGACATTCTTCTTGCTGCTAATAATATTGTTATGTTACATGATGTAAAGAAGTTTCCCTCTAGCAATTTTGAAATGAAAGATATGAATGAGGCATCTTATGTGATAGGATTAGAAATATTTTGTGATAGATCACAAGGATTGTTAAGTTTGTCTCAAAAAGATTATATTAACAAAGTGTTAGAGAGATTCAGAATGGAAAAATGCTCTTCTGGAGTAGTTCTAATTCAAAAGGGGGACAAGTTTAGTCAAATGCAATGTCCCAAGAATGATTTGGAACGAAAGGCCATGGAGTCCATTCCTTATGCATCAGTGGTTGGGAGTGTGATGTATGCTCAAACTTGTACTCGACCATATATCAGTTTTGTTGTTGGAAGGTTAGGTCGATATCAAAGTAATCCTGGAATGGATCATTGGAAAGCTACAAAGAAATTTCTTAGGTACTTACAAGGTACCAAAGAATACATGCTCAACTACAGAAGGTCAGATCATCTTGAGGTGATTGGCTACTCGGATTCAAACTATGTTGGATGTGTGGATTCAAGAAAATCCACATTTGGGTATGTTTATCTATTAGCTGGAGGAGAAATTTCTTGAAAAAGTGCAAAACAATCAATCATTGCTACTTCCACCATGGAGGTTGAATTTGTGGCATGCTTTGAGGGCACGGTTCATGCTTTGTGGTGGCGGAACTTTGTATCGAGGCTTGGCATTATTGATAGTATTGTTAGGCCGATAAGGATTTATTGTTATAGTTCTGCAACAGTCTTCTTCTCTAAAAATGATAAGTACTCAAAGGGTGCTAAACACATGGATTTGAAATACTTGTTGGTCAAAGAAGAAGTGTAGAAACATAGAGTGTTGATTGAGCATATTGGTACTGATTTGATGATAGCAAATTCGATAACTAAAGGACTACCGCCCAAAACTTTTATTGGCCATGTTGAAAGTATGGGCATTATGGATAAGTCAATATTAACATGATGATGTTATCTATCTATATGGATATGTATAGTTATATGCTTATATTGTCATGACACTTGTGAATTCATATAAAGTTATGTTTCTCTTTATTCTATTTTTATCCACATTAAGTTATATACATCTATTATTGATTGTGGTAACATGTTATATCTCTTTTAGAAACATGAAAGTTAAAAGATTGATTAAAGTTATGTTGAGTTGGTTTGATTATGTGATACATGGAAGGAATCTTGTCGTTCATGACTTTTTCCCGCCATGATCTGATCATTTCAATTCATATAAGGATGATGACTTGACAATTCTAATAAATGGTGCGCACTTAAAGTTTATTTTTAGATCTTCAAGTCATCATATGAACCAAGTGGGAGAATGTTGAATTATATTAATATTTAGCCTTGGTTCATATAATTTAAAGTATAACTTTGATGTAAAGATTCTAATGTGATGATTATTAGAATATAAATGTAATAAAGTTATAGGGATTATTTTAGAGTTATTAAAATTAATCCCTCTCTTATCACTTCAATAAAGGATATTTTGGTATTTTATTAAAGTTGGTTAAATATCATAAAGGAGAAAAAAACGTTTACTTCTGTTGACACCCTTGGCAATTTCTATATCATCAAGAAAGCATCAAAGAGGAATAAAAGAAGGGAGAACAATTGACAGGAAAAAAACTATACAATGGATCCAGGTAAGTCATTCTCTACTATGTCTGTGAGAATAGTGAGAAACATGAAATTCAAGATCCTGTATGTTTTCATTTAATTAAAATCATAAAAATTGCTTACAAGTGGTATCAGAGCCAAGTTCTGAATTTTATGATTCTCCATGGTAATTTTCTCAATTATAGAAACCCTAATTTTTTAATTATAAAATTTAGGGATTTTTAAATTTTCAAATGTTTAATTTTACTATGATATTAATTATTTTTGATTGGTATGAAAGAAAATTCAATTCACTGTTACGTGAATTTGATCCAAGAAGCTACAGGTTTTTAATTTTGGTTGTCACCATAAAGCAACTTTATTGTTGCGGCACTTGGTCTAACAGTAAAGCAACTTTGTTGTTGCGGCTTATATTATATTCTACAGAAATAAGAATGTGTTATTGCCACTGTACATTGAATGAAAATTATTTTGTGAATTAAAAGTGAAAGTTACATTAGATTGGTTGGAATGCATATGTGAATTAAAGGTTTCACGATTATGAATGCTTTTAATTAGAAAAGTGCATCTACTGACACACATGATATAATGTTTTGTTTTATGAATTATAAGTAATTGTTAATTAAACTTGGATGAAGAAAATTCAATTAAGTTGAATTTTGGGTGAGTTATAATTCTAATCAAAATTAAAGTGTTCCATAACTTTATTTTTCATTGCTCTGGTAAACTAATAATGAAATGAAGTAATCCTAAAAATCATATCTAATGTAGCTGTTTACCCATCAAAATAGAAAGAATGAATAAAACATGAAAGCTCGTGTTGGCAATACAATTTTTTAGTTTGCCCAGTTTTTAAATTGAGTAGTTTAAAATTTCATCAGCATAAAGCTGTACAAACCATCAATATTAACAATTTGTACAAAATACATCACAGAATATCCAAAATGTTAAAGTTATTAAGTGCAAAATACATCATATCCAAAATAATATTGAAGGTGACTTGAATATGTCTTAGCAAAACTACTTAAAGTTGAAAGTACATATCCAAAATACAACAGAAAGGTGAACAATTTTTAAAGTGTTGTTGTAGTATGATCGGTCTGGGGTTCTTGAGTAATCTGACTTGCTTGAGTGGGTAGTGGTGTAGCTTCGTGGTCTTGTTGTTCACTTGGTTGAGTGGACTGTGTTGTAGCTTGTTGGTGTTGTGCTTGAGGGCAATTAGTTCTTCTATGCCCTAGTTGTCTACAAATGCCACATCTCTTTGGGATTCCGGTTTGTCCAAGTTGTGTATCATCCCTTTTTTGCTCCCAACTCTTCAGTCTTCTTTTTTTCCTTGGTCTACCTGGCAACACCCTATTCGGAGGAGGCAAAACATCATCATATGAAGTCCTTTGCCATAGTTCAGGTCCATTCATAGGGAAAATTAATGGAATGTAAGTTTCTTCATAAGTAGAGGTTCTAAACCAATTTGGGACATAGTCTTCTGGATTGATGTTTAAAAACCTCATGGTTGTGAGTGCATGACAACAAGGTATTCCTGTTACAATCCACTTCCTGCAGCTACAATCTTTTTTGTCTACGTCAACCACAAACTTTTCAACAATATTGCAAGTATGGCTGATCTCAAAAACTTGTAGACCTAACCAACTACCAAAGTATTAAAAATAATATTAGTAACAAATTTTAATGGAATCAATAAAATGGAAAATGAGTAACTCATTGAGTAGTTTACTTAATGTACATGCACCTTTGAGGTAGTGCATCCACTTCCTGTACTCATTTCAACAAACACACTACCTTCGCAATCTTGTTGTTCAAGTTGTTCATCAACATGCACACCAACATCCACAAATTCATCTTCACTAATAAAAGCCTCTTCATTAGACCCTATCCAACTACTAACATCAAACTCCTCATGCATATCTTTAGCACCTTCTGTCCTGGCCAACTTCACCAACATCTCCAACTTCACCATCATCAGCACCTTCACCATCTTATCCAACTTCAACAACATCTCCAACTTGACCAACTTCACCATCATTAGTACCTTCACCTTCTTCTCCAACTTCACCAACATCTCCAACTTGACCAACTTCATCATCATTAGCACCTTCACCATCTTCTCCAACTTCAACAACATCTCCAACTTGACCAACTTCACCATCATCAGCACCTTCACCATCTTCTCCAACTTCAACAACATCTCCAACTTGACCAACTTCACCATCATTAGTACCTTCACCTTCTTCTCCAACTTCACCAACATCTCCAACTTGACCAACTTCATCATCATTAGCACCTTCACCATCTTCTCCAACTTCAACAACATCTCCAACTTGACCAACTTCACCATCATCAGCACCTTCACCATCTTTTCCAACTTCAACAACATCTCCAACTTGACCAACTTCACCATCATCAGCACCTTCACCATCTTCTCCAACTTCAACAACATCTCCAACTTGACCAACTTCACCATCATTAGTACCTTCACCTTCTTCTCCAACTTCACCAACATCTCCAACTTGACCAACTTCATCATCATTAGCACCTTCACCATCTTCTCCAACTTCAACAACATCTCCAACTTGACCAACTTCACCATCATCAGCACCTTCACCCTCTTCTCCAACTTGACCAACATCTCCAACTTGACCAACTTGACCATCATCAACACCTTCACCATCTTCTCCAACTTCACCAACTTCACCATCATGAGTACCTTGACCATCTTCTCCAACTTCACCAACTTCTACAAATAAACCATCTTCTATCTCATGACCATCATCACCAACATCTCCAACTTCACCATCATCAGCACCTTTACCATCTTCTCCAACTTCACCAACTTCACCATCTTCACCACCTTCACCTTCACCATCCTCACCACGTTCTTCTTTAACCTCTTCTTTAAGTTTACCTTGACCTTCACCATCTTCATCATCCTCACCTTGTTCACCAACATCATATTGCAACATATTAATATAATCAGGTTCGGACACCATGTGAACCACAAACAAATGAGCTTTACCATTCAATAACGCAATGCTCACGATATGCATTGCTCCTATGTCATCACTTAACAATTCCAACCTATCTTCTAATACACGACCACCCAGGGAATACCACAACTCCTTAACATTCCTATATCCCATCTTCTTCAATATGGCCAAGATTTAAAAATAACTCCATTTGTCTGTGTCAATGACCAAGGTACTGGTATCACTTCCATGGTATCTAAATGACCCATCATTCAGAAACTTACCCCTATGGTGAAACACCACCTCAATATCAGAGTCAGACATTTTCTTTATTTGTCAACTATTATATGCCTATATAAAACAAAGTGTCAGACTACATGCAGTTGGTTAATGACCTTCACATGCATCTACTATCAGTATTTAGTGACCTCCACACGCATGTACATTGTAAAGATGCAACGTTACTAACAACTATCACAGCTGTAGGCATACAAAAGTAATCACATGCATTCATTGTATCACCTACAACATTCCATTTTGGCTTAAACCTTAAATCAATATGCATCAACCACAAGTTAAACAACAACCACACATTCAACAAAACCATATCCAAAATAGTACTACGCACTAAGAGGACAAAAGCACAAAACAGTCTACACTAATTGGGGACCAAAACCATACAAACAGTACTAAAAACAAAACGAAAAGTACTCAAGAACAGGACCACTACAAATCCAACGTTATTAGGGGGACCACAAGACAACAAGGGGGACCACAACAGAACATAGTAAGGGGACAAGAAGACAAGATACTTCCATGGGGGAAAGCAACTACATCAATAACTGATAAAAAGCGTACCTTTCACCTTTTTACTTCAAAGAACTATCATCGCAACGTCAATCTTTTTTTCTCAAGAATCTCCTTCACCAACCCTTTTCTGTCAACAATCTCCTTCGACACCGTCAATCCTTGCACAACGTCAATCCTTCCAAAATGTGAAAAATCCTCAATCTATGACCTAACTTGCGTAATGTTTTAATTCGAAGATTAACAAACCCTATTATTTAATTTCCCCAATTTCATAACACGTAATTTATTCTTTTTCCTGCCACGTCAACTAACATACCCCAACTCATTGCCACGACCACATTTCTTGCACACCTCACATTCACACTCAGTTCAACGTTTTCAATTTTAACGTCGTCAAACGGTGATGACTTAAGTTACACAATTTTTCTAATATGGGGACCGAATGTCTTCATTTTTAAAATTGGGTATTAAACAAAAATTCACCTCTTGGGAACGAAGTAAACTATTAAGCCTATATTTTTTTTTTATCAATTCTACACTGAGTAAAATATATTTCAAACAATCTCTGTACACAAGATAAATCCCTTTTTTTTGAAATACTCAGTAAAACTACATGCCTAATTGGTCCTAAATATTGCAAATAAAGTTTAGATTGCAAAAAGTGAGCTAAATATGTCAAGGAGTGCATGCTATTTTTAAATGCACCAAATTTCACGATACCACACTTGTGCAATACTGATCTAATACTTTGTTAATCCTCAATTTCATTTGATAAATAAAATTTATTTCCAAAAATATAAAAAAATAGGTATTTAATTAATTTTAAAAATGCAATGTAAAAAGGAGTGAAATAAAAAATAACGATAAACAAATAATTTTAAAAAAAAAGAAAAAAGAATGTTTACTTTTCACACCGACAGGTTTTCTCTTTAGAACCTCCTCAATATGGCCCCAATCAAGACCTAAATCACTCTTTACTTTACACCCCCCGTTTTCTTTTTCATCTCAACTCAATACACATTTTAATATATACACCTGTTTTTCGTTTTACACCTCTTCTATGGGTAGAACCCAAATCCACTTTTTTTACATCCATACCTCCCTATCATTCTTTTTACACCTTCTTTGTATTTTATGGGCTCGTGGCCTATTTCATTTTTACAACCACATCCCACTATTTTTCTTTTCATACCACATTTGCATATTGCATTTTACGCGTTGAAATTTCAAAAACTTATGTAAACTTGGATTTATGACATATGCTTCGTGTACCCCATATTTTCTCCCCTAGTTCTAGTGAAAAGACATTTTTACTCTCTTATAAATAAACAAAATCATATTCTTTTTCCTTTATGCAGCCGCTTTTCCTTCCTCTCCCATACAACAACCACGTCTCCCTTCCTGTGTATTGGATTAAATGTTTTGGAATGTGTGTTTAGATTTAAAAATATCTTCCAAAAATATTTAATCCGAAATATAATTTTTTCATAATTTTTAGATTGAGTGTTTAGAATATTTTCCAAATCTGAAAATATATTTTAAAATATTCAATTAAAAAGATAAAAATAAAAAAAAAGTGTAGGAAATTGATTACTTGACTAATAATGTTTTATAAAGATGAAGTTGATTACGAGTGATGGGTGGAAAAAGCACCCATATCGACCGTGTCAAGTCCTCACCGTTTCATATATTGCTTTTATAAAAGGTTACAATTTTTCTTATTTCTATTGTTTTTTTTCATTTTCTAATTTGTCTTTTCACCACATGTACAAGTGATAGTTAGAGATGATAAAATGGCTCACTTCGTTCCATTTTCTCTTGTCATTCACCAATGCATCGAAAATCTTGACTCATTCTACTAGTGAATGAATTGGCAAGTGAATCCGTAAATTTTTTCTTGAAATTTAAATAGCTTTTAAGATATGATTAAAATTTTTAAAAATATTTATATAATTAAATAGATTTTAATATATATATATATATATATATATATTATTAAAAATTATTTAATAATGTAAATATTTTTTAAAGTTTTAATTAATTATTAATGTCTTTAATTAGATAAATTGAATTAATTATTATATTTATATATGTACTATACCCTAATGACCGAGCAGCATGAGGGGTTCGTAGCCAAAACAGTGGCCGAACAGCGAATAACGTATTATACAACAGTGACTTGAGCTATCGGAGTATTTTCTGCAGGACCACCATCGATCGAAAGGACAACTTACGCACTGGAGGAACGGATTGACACAGTGAAAGTCATATCGGCAGGCGGACGAGGCGAGAATAGAAGACAATCCACCTCGGGCCCAAATATAACCGAAACAATATGTAATTATTCTATTATAATTAATTATTGAAATTTAATTTGTAAATATTAATAATTTAAATCATAATGTTATTACATATATTTGTATCGGAAATATATATAATATAAAAAAGTTATTTTTTTAATTTTTTTAATATTTTAATTTGTAATTTTATTAGAAATGACCAGTGAATTCACCTGATTTATCTTTTGACAGACTAGATGAGACGAGGCAAAGTGAACTAGCGAGTTAAAATCTGCAAATGTCCTATAAATCATGATCCATTATATCGATCTTAATGATAATGGAAACAAATTTCTTTAAATGATTTATTAATAAAATTTTAATTTGCATAACATATTATTACAATAATAATGATTATTATCATTAATATTATCATTAAAACTTGTTCAATAACTGAAACACAGTAAAAAGAATCGAACAACTTATGTAAGAACTGAAAAAAAAGACAAATAGATCATTCATACAGATCTAAAAATCCAAAAAGAGAACCTCTTTTCCTTAAAATTTAACTCCATAGAACTATTTTAGAAGGAAGCTACAAAGGTAAATCACTTGACTTTACATTACAACTTATGATACTCTTTATTTTGACAAATAACATAATTCAAAGCCACGTAAAACAGTAGTTTTAAGAATGCATTTTAAATGATAGACCTGAGCCACTAAATTTTTCTTCAATGATTTTGGATAATTTTTCCACCATAGAAGGGGAAAAATGATTTACCCAATCTCCTATTTCTGCCTTTCTGAAAAACAACTTATTTTCAAACCTTTTGATTTCAAAATTTATCTTTCCAGATTTGTTGACTTCCGTATCCTTCATCTCCTCAAAGCTACACAGCTTGGCTATGCTTTCAATCACTCCATTACTTTCTTCCTCTTCAGTGAAAGGACAACCCAAAAACTCTGCAACTTTTTTCACCTGAGAATTCACATCTTCTTTAAGATCCTCGTACTTCAAGAATAGGACAGTGTTTGGTCTGGCTACACTTTCATTCCAGTAACCTAACACATGACTCCACCATGGACCGAACTCAATTACCCCATTGCAAAACATTTCAAAAGCTTCCTCCTTTGTCAATGCCGGTGAAGCCTCCACCTTAATCTTATTATAGAAAGCCCATGCAGAAATAAAAGTGTCAAAGGGGTTCCTGCAAATGTAAATTATTCTGCAATGAGACTCTACGATTGACCTGGGTAATGAAGGATACGGAATGTGAGTACCAAAAAGTCTTGGTTCAGGCATGTTGGATAATTGAAGAATCTGGTCATGGATGTTACCACGAAATGTGTAAAGGGGAGGCACAAGTTGGTGAGGGTTAGAGGTAAGCAATGGATGGTTCTCTTTGGAGAAGTTTTTGTGGTTGACAATGGCAAAAGTTAGGGCTTTCAACCATGTTGTACCAGATTTTGGAAAGCTCGTAACAAGAACATCACTTTGTTTTCCTTGAAAGTGCTTTTGAAAAATGTTTCTTTCTCTGATGAGAGGTGATGGACACCAAAAGTGTTCAAATAGATAGACATAGGGAAAAGACCAACCTTTCTCTTTAGGGAGAGAGGAAATGAGCTTATCTTCTTCTTCATTCTCTTGTTGCCAACCTATTGAAGAAGCCATTTTCTGATTGATACTTTTCAAATTGTGAGGATTTCGCTCACTTGGGAATGCTTTTATAGCACCGGCTATAGTGGTTAAAGTTCAAGAAAAACACTTGAATGTTGGTACATGTGGGGAATGAACACATTTAATAGGCAATGATATTCTTTTCACATCTAAATTTATTTTATTTGACATTATATTTAATTATTTTTATAAATATAAAAGTTCATTTTTTTAATGACCATTTTCTCTTTCTGAGTTGCCATCCTCACACATGCATATATAAGGCTTTTGTGTTTTTTTAAATAAAGTAATTTTTCACTTCCTTTTTTTCTATGCGTGGTTTGATGCATTTTTTATTTAAGGAAATCAAGGCATATCATATTTCTTTTTACTTTAATAAAGTATTTATAATATTTTCTATTTTA